GAAACCGACTGCAGGGCTTGCTCAGCACGACGATACCTGTTCGAGAAAGATCTGAGTGATTCCGAGGGCTGCCTCACGATGCTCTCGTAATCGCTCATCAGCTTTCTCTTCTGGTATACCAATTTTGTGGCAAGACCTGACTGCAATGTAGCTTCAATGTACTCGACGCCATCTGCTGAATCCAAACGATCCAAATCGCAATGTTCCAATTCCTCTTCAGCCTCTCCGGTTAATGAGCTGTAGAGGAACAATGCTGCGTCACGGCGACCCATGTAAGCTGTGATCTGCTTCTTCCAAGTGGCCAGCTTTCTCTGCCACTTGGGAAAACTTCTCGTCTCGTGAGTACCGCCAGGGTGGCGGTGCCGGTGGGGCACCTGAGCGATACTTCAGGCCTCTCTCAGGGCCCATCTTGGAATTCCAACTTCACTCAGAGTGGTCGCTTCCCTTGGCCTCAACATCAACAGCACGCTGCAATGTACGGACAAGGTTGTTGTTCGACTGTGTCAACCCACTCGACTGCTCACGCCTTGAACGACTTGTACCAACATCAATGTCAACATCACGCTCAATGCTTGTACGACCAATACCACCAATGTTGTCTGCTGCATCACCTTGTGTGTATTGGGCTCTGCTCTTGTTCTTCCTGGATCTACGATTGCGACGCCTACCAACAACAGTCATGGTGTCGGGGTCAACGATCGGATCCTCGGTGGCAGTCTCGGAATCTTCAAACTCTCGAGCTTCTCCCATTGAGGGAGGCGGGTCAGAAGGTCCAATGCCTGCCAGGTTGCCAGCGTCCGGTCTAGCCTTCGGCGACGCTCGCTCAGGTTGAGGCTCTTGGGACTGCGGTGGCGAAGCATGCCGGGGCATGAAAACCCAAACTCCGTCCTCAGTTTCGTGCCGGGCAGCCTGAGTGGTCTGGTAAAAATCAGCTCCTCGGCAATCGGCACATTTCCAACCCTCTCCGGTCCACATAAAAGTATTGTTCCCGCAATCCCAACACTTCCAACTCGGCTCATCATCTAAGCCAGCATCCGAGGTCGAGCGCGGGCGGCCATGACCGGAAGATGGGAGATCGTCAAAATCGAAGTACATCGATCGACCGATCAATCAACCAAGCTCCGGTGCCAACTAAGGGAACCACTAGCAAAGGGAGGTGGTGCCCTAAAGGAAACTAGACGCAAGCAAATGCAAGCATGAAGCGTCTTTCTGCGAAAGCGGAAGCTTGGCTCGGGCCCTACCGCAAAAGAGACATGAGTCAATGCAGCTCAGTACATGCTTACTTTCACAGTAACAAGGGCATCGCTACTAGTAGCAAGGGCATCACTAGTAGTAACAAGGACATCGCAATAAGGATTGACTCTGTGTAACTTCTCGAGAACTCGAGGTACATCAGACTGTTCACATGTTGCACTCAGACTCTCAATGGCGTGCACAGCTTGTGTGGAGCTCTCTCTTTTGCCCCTCCCTTCCCTGCATTCATTCCTCTACTCAAAAGTTGCCCGCCCGTCACCGGCAAACAAACCAGAAACAGCCTTCGTCTAGACTCTAGACAAACTCTCACCCTGTTGTGTGCATGCAGCGTGCAAGCGTCAATGGAGAATTAATTAGGGGCAACCCGATCTTCAGACAAGTCCATGTCACTTTCTACGAACTCAGCTTTCGCCTGGCCGCGGTGTCACACAAGAGCTCATTGGCATGACATCTCCCAAAGAGTATGTCCTTCAGCACCCCTCCCTTTATCACTGTGAATGATATGACTGGTGAAAACTTGAAGGAGACACCATCATCGCAGAAAGAACCGTCACCGTCATTGCTGAAAGAATCCTTCACACACGCCTTCGATGGAAGCACCACGGCTTCATGCACATCAAAATTCCACATAAATGTTTGCAACTGTCAATGTTGGGTCAGGGAAACTCCTTGAGCGCTCACTTTGGTCGACATTTCCCCGCTCGAGTCTAGATTCTCGCTGGGAATCACCGATCCAAGCACCTGGATCGCTGATGATTCTACAGCGACTGGAACTACCCATCGATGCTCATCAAGCGTTTCAACACCACACGCAAACAATCCGTGAAACAGACTTGCGGAACAGTACCATGTAGAATTCTGTGGTATGCTAAAGTATGCTAATCTATATATATATATATGTGCGTGTGTGCATGTGTACATACATATGTATCAATGTATGCATATATATATATGTGTGTGTGCGTGTTCATGCCTTTAATTAGCCACAATTAGCCAAGTGGGAGACTGGCAAAACAAGCAGTCGTGCGATGCCAAAGCTCTTCAGCGCCCAAAGAATCAGGGACTAAAGGCGCATGGGAAGCCAACAAGCGCTTGTCGCTGCGGGTTTCACCCTTCTGTGGAACAGGGCTTTTCGAAGCCAAAAGCAGCAGCCCTGGAACAGTTCATTGTCAACATGAAAACTGAGAGCAAGTTGTCAAGTCAAATGTGCCTGGAACTGTTGTTTCATGATGTGCGCTGTTTCATGTTGACGCCACAGGGAACAAAACTGCCCTTCGAAGAATCAATTCGGCCACCTGTCACACAGCGCCACGTGTCACCAAAACCTGTGCCGTCATTGGCAATGCTAGCTGACACTGGATAGGCACAACAACAACCACAACAACAACAACAACCACAACCACCCCCTCAACAGAACAAGTCAGTTGACATGTTGGGTACTATGGTGCTTTCGATGCAACATCATCTTGTCAAACAACACTTTATTTGTTTATACTTCTGCAAAATCTTCATACATGTGGTTGCCATGTGGAGGGAGACAAATGCAAGAAGTGCGCGTGCGAGCATCATCAGGCATCTTAGCTTATCTGAGTCTCTGAGAAACATAATCACTGGCATGACAGGAGGCCACCAAAGGGTCTCACAGGCGGAACTTTAAAAAGCTTGCAGACTGCCCTGTTCGCGCAGAAGCTGCCACTACCAAGACTTGTACAGTGTAACCTTGGTGCCACCTCTTCAAGCCTTTGAACCTGCTGTACTTTATTGGGTGGGACCTTGCAATACAGCACGCCTTGAGAGCCAATGAGCCCGAATTGTTAGCTGAACAGTGCCGAGGAAGATGCATTCAAAATGAAAATGCAACAAGCCAACTGTCACCCAAGTGCTAAAGTGCTAAATGCATCAAACACTGGACTACCGAAGGTTGCATACATGCGTAGGCGCAGGAATGAAACTACAAAAATGCGATGTTTGCTTTGTTCTTGAAATGGGATTTGTGACTGGTGTGTTGTGTCAGCGCAACTTGCGCAAAAAAATACTTGAACCCTAATTACCTTCATCAGGACGGCTTGAGGCAATGTTGAATTTTGCCTGGCTAAGCTCTGTTTCATGCCCTTCATGAACCAGCAAACAGCAATTGAAGAATAATGCCCACTGCGTCTATGGCATGTTGGCCGTTCCACCACTCCACTTGCAATACCCACAAGCAGGTTCACATACACACAGCTATCTCAACAAAGGTGGCATTGCAGTAGTCGGTCTTGTCCCGACCATTCCAGCTGATTCACATTTGGTTTCAACAACAGGTCAACTGCCTGAGTTGTCCTTGCCCTTCCTCCTAAGAACGGCAAGATCGAAACTTCAAGCCCAAAGCCGCCATTTAAGCAGCTTTGGAACGCCTTGAGTCCTTGAGGCTGTGGGCTATGCCTCTCCCCATTCCACAGAAACCTGCTCCTCCTTCGCACCACTCAGAAAGACACATCCTGAGCAACTCCACCAGAAATCATGGCTCTTTCAATTCAGCACTTGCAATCCAATCCAGTACTAAACGCTTGGCCATGCACTAAAAGAACATGAAGTGCAACTACCAACCTCTCAATGCTGGCACCGTGGACAAGAGCCCGCCGACTACTCTTAGATACCACACATGATCTTTTGGAACTTTGGGCGCATGTGCTGGGTTGGCGATACGTGGAGAAGCGTCGCAAACATAGTGTCTCTAGCAGCAATGAGCACAGTGGAGTATTTCCGATGTTGGTTCATCCGACTCAATGCGCGCCAATGACCACGCATGAACTGCCACATCCTCCAAAAAGATGTGCCGTAGGTACAACGAGTCTGAACTTTTCTACCCGATTGCTGCGAAAGCATCTGTTGAAGTAGATGGGCTCCCAAGTGGGCTCACCCTCGGAAGACACCTCAAGTGCAAGTGTAGCTGAACATAGCTGCACTGTGATTTTGGATGCCGGCCACGGCGACATTCCCACAAAAACATGCAAAAGCAACAGCATAATTGCAAATACATGCAGGTACTACATCCATCATCCAAATGTGCTTGATGCTGCAAATGAGGTGTAAAGGATCTTGTGGTAATAGTATTTGGTCAGCTTGACGGCACTTGTGAAATAAATATATGATGCAGTGAATGCGAAACCCTGGGATGAAGCTTGACAAGCTCAAGGCTACTGCAAAAGTGACGGTTCGGACAAACTTGGACCCGGACAGTGACGAATTTGAACTCCACAGTCGAAAGGTCACGAGGCACTTTCACAGTGGCATTCCTCAATCATACGACCAAGCTGACAAAAGGGTGAGTTTCAGATTAGTGCATCTTGAACATTCTGAATTTGCCAAGTATATAGTTGCAGTATATATACAGTTGAAATATGCTGAAAGGTGTGGCCCATCCCCTCTTGTAATTACATTTTGATGTTTTGGTAATCAAGGGAAATCATTTGCCAAGGGCACGGATTCATGAGCGGGTCCTCCAAGCTCTTCTATCGCATTGTCTGGATCGCGTGTTCCAAATCCGACCAGCAAACGACACGCGGAACTTTGGGTGAACTGGATGACGAAACAGAATCATGATTCCTTCACTCAAGGTGCCAAAAGAAGCATATTGGAGTGAATTGAACTAAATGACACCAAATGTCTGCCTTCAATCCGGGCACTATATAATTGCTCAACAGAAAATAGAGCACATGAAGTATAGCTGTCATACCCTATAGCGATATATTCTATATATTATATTATATATATATATATATATATTGAGCACCAGTGACCACTGTTTTGCTAGCTAGCTGGCCACCTAACCCGTATAGCGTAAACAATACCAAGCCACCCGCTGGGGACCCCCCGGAAGATGCCACAATCACTTCACCAAGCCACCACAGCGGAAACGCCGTGTCGCTGGTCCGCAGCTTGACACCCTCTGAGGGGTGCCAGTCACCGAGCTCTGGACAGCTTCCAACAATCCGCCTCAATGGCAGCGTCCGCTGCGGTCATAGGAACGACCGTCCACTGCGGTCCCAGCTACGGTCGTTTTGGCAAAACAAGAAGCCAAGAGGCAACGAGTCTCCATGTGTAGTTTCTTCATGACGGACCTCGAAGTTGATCGCCACAGGCTCTGGCCTGTACCCAAGCTGGATGTCACACTCTCTCTCTCTCTCTCTCTCGTGCGTTTTGCAAACCGAAACCTCTGAATCGTGTGCTGAGCTTGCTGGCTTTTGTGGCGCCTTGGAGCGTTGGGCACCCAGAGCTGCCCGGACATGGGCGGCAGCTCAGTGCAAAAGCGCCCGCGACCCAAGGTCACCCTCTCTGTGCGGGGAGTGAAGCAGCCATCATCTAGTGCTGTCGCCTCAGTCCAAAACCACATGAACTGCCAAGGAAGAATTAGCAGCAATGCCTAATTATAATTTCGCAGCTCCCTCTGGCTCTCTCTCTCTCTCTCTCACTTTATCTCCCCCTCCAGTGCCACCACTGACGACTTCTAAAGAAAGTAGACCCATCAAAAAACCTCCGTTGTGATGCAAACCATAACATGGTCAAAAAGCTAGAATCAAACAAAAGAGACTGCCTGTATCACATCCCTGACATCAATGAAGCAGGAAAAGAAGGTCGGGCAAGTTCGTTGATGATCGTTTTCAAGCTCTTCTTCCTCAAATCCATCTTCCCGGAAGGATAACGTTCGGCAGTTGCCTCTGTCGCATGACATTACCGTACAAAGGCAAGGTTTCCTGTGGTAGCCCTGCCAAGTTATCAAGTTTGGACGCCATGGAGCACCAACCCTTCATGCCTTTCTATAGCCCAAGCATGCTGGTTCACAGTGGTGTGAGCCTACCAGAAGTATTCCAATGGGTACGCGTACAATATGTGCCAGACTGCAATTCTGCATCGTCAAGATTCCGCGACGCACTCCCAAGCTCCGCATTGCTCGCCGCAATTCACATAGTATTCGCTCAAGTATCGGTTGGAGGCATTGATGATAACGATGGCCTGAGCCAGCTGACGGCCTGGTTAAATGGGAACAGGTGCAGTCAAGGAACTGGACTTCTGACTGCTGTTGAAATTGTTCTATATTAAATACATCTCTCTCTCTCTTTTTCTTTGGATGTATCTTTGACCATGTTGGAGGGCGCAAGCTTGGGCAAGAACAATCTAAAATGATTATGTATATAATATATATATATATACATTTCTGTCCAAGGTTGACTATCGTCGCTACGGTAGGCAGCACTTCCTTTTTCTCACGGTCATCTTGCCAGTATTGTCTTCAACCTGCCATCTCCTGCAGGATAATTGCGTTGGGTTACCTGCATCAGCAGGCCTGTCACAATCAGACCTTTTGTGATATCCTTCCAGTCACTCCGGAAACCACTCCCAATGCACTTCAAAGATACCCAACGCACTTAGAGAAATTCCATGACACGGATCACTGCTGGAAGCGGTAGGTGCCATAGACAGAACTGAACGGGCAAGTGACGGAAAAAGGGGTGAATCCGTTGGTTCGCCACCACGGATCAGACCAACCAAGCCTTGAAATTGCGTCAGCCCAATTACTCTTGGATGGAATGTATTCCCAATACATCCATGTCCGCAAGGCGTATAACATGACATGAATCAAACCGCGCATACGTTCGAGATCGGGCGAGTGGGAACGGCCCCGAATCAAACACATGAGGCTGGCTACGTTGTCGATCAGCCAGATGCCTCGCCTACCCCGAAAGGTGTGTGCTCGATATGTGAGGGCATAAATAATCATCACCATTTCCAGCTGGGCAATCTGCCTATCTCCAGGCTCCCACAGCTGATAGACTTCCCTAGGGATGTCGGTGATGAAGGCTTCTCTGACCGGGTCCCTCCTGGTCACGCCAAACGATCAAAAAGCCTCCAGTGCCTTGCTTTGGTGCCGGAAGTTCGCGACAGGGTCGATGGCGAAGAATGGAATGGATCACGTCGAAGTTGCGTTGTAGCTCTGGGGTGAGGTCACGAACTCGCTCTGTTTGTCGTGCCTTGATGGCCGCGAGGCCTGCGCATCCCAACCTACCGTATATGCCCTGTTCGAGAAAATTGAGCATGCCGTAGAGCTTGGACGATTGGCCTGCGGACAGGCTGCCGTTCGCTTGAGCTTCATTCACCATAGCGGTAGTCTTCTGAATCAGGTCTCGAGCCCAAAACGTAACGAAGCCGTTGCCGAGCTGTGTGAAATCGTGATCGAGGCCAAGAAATGTCCCGGTCGGGCGCATCAACTGCTTCTTTTCCTCGGCGAAAGGGGTTCCTAGAAGGGAGTTCAACTGGCAGAAAGCCTGCTGGCTAGATCCCAAGCTCGACTGAAGATCAGTAATGCGGGCATCGTCAAAGTACAGTGACACCAAACTGTAGGTCAAGTACAGTGACACCAAACTGTAGGTCAACCTCCGCCCCAGGGCCTCAATGAGTCTTGCGTATCTGTTGAACGACGTCACCGCGAGTGGAAGGCCAAACAACAAGGAGGAATACACCTGGAAGGCTGGTTCGCTGCGTTCGGCGTGCCAGAAACATACGATACAACCACGGCTTTCCTCACGGCTGATCGGGGAATGACGGTAGGCATTGGGCCAATCCTCTCCTCCATGGAGAGCCACGCATCGTGGCTCGTCATGGCGTGCCACTGGTCATCCGAAGGAGCGAGGCGACGGCTCCTATGTGCTGAGCTGGCCGCAATGGAGAGCACAAGACAAGCTTGTTCCAGTCAGATGACCGCTCGGATTGACCTCCAGTGTCCCCGTTGTCGATGATTCTCTTCTTGCCTGAGGATTGCACAATAACGCAGCGTGGAATGAGCCGAAATGGCTCCCCTCGCAGTTCACGAAAGAGATCGAAAGAGCTGAGCGTGGGTCAATGGAGTGGAGCAGAAGCCCTGAGCGGCATCATTCAAAGATTGCTCGAGCAAGACTCGTGTTTGCCTGGCTTGAGTGCAGCGATCGTCTTGTAGTTGTGGGTCTCCCAGTTGTCAAGCACGTCCTCCATGGTGAGGAGGCGGCCCCGTTGCTCCGGAAAGACTCCGCAGGGCGGCGCTGTACCTACGGCTGGCAGTCCCGCTACCAGGCCATAAGGGTATGTGACATCCGCCCATGAGGTGAGGATCACCAATAGAGCCGTCAGCCCGATATCCCGGGAGCAAGTGACTTTCCGAATCGCCGGCGTCTGGAAGGTCCTCGGGCGCTCACCCACTTTCTTGTCCAGGCTCTGTTCACGAAGTCGCGGAAGCTCCTTGGGGCGTGATGCATAGAGGGCGGCTTTGTGGCTCAAAGCTCCTGCCTGTTGGCCTTCAGCATGACGCTGTCTCTGACGCAAGGCAGCGCCGGCCAAGTGTGGGCCCAAGGGCCCGTCGGCCTTGAGGTCACGCTGGTCTCTCCAGCGGGGGAACTCGCAGAACGGCGCTTGGTTCAGCAGGTCCTCAATCATTGGGAACTTGAAGTCTTGGAACCAGTCACCAGGAAAAAGGCGACGAAAGCAAGTAACCACACCTTGCTGGGTGAAGAGACCCACAGGGCTTGGGATGCTCGCTGCAACTCCCCTGCTCAAAACAACCCCCAAACGAAGAGCTCTAGATGCGGCAGAGTGCTTTCGCTGACCCCCCCAGCTGCGGCAAGGTAGCGAGGTGCTTCGGGCGCCGTCGCATCGAAGACTAAGCCGGCTAGCGCGTCAGCCTCGCAAACGTCACTTTCTCGCGCGCAGTCGCAAGCCAAGGTGCAACCTGCCAGCGCTGGGAGCTCCGCCGCCTTGTACGACATGATGAACTCCACGTAGCAAGGGGGCCATTCATCGGCAGTGCAATCGTGCCCTCAAGTGTACGGAGAGCACCACTCAGAGAGGGGCAACCTGTGAGTATGGTGGCCCCGCCCCACGTAGATACAGTTGGAAGGGAGCTTCCCGTCAACTAGCAACTCAGCGACTCTCTTCACTTGGGGAACTCTGGCACGCTCACGAGGATCAATGGGTCGAAGCCCCAACTGAATCGCCAAGGGAGTCACGCATTGCTCGCGCCGACCCACGGATTCGGTCGGTGGCATGCGAGGTACTCGGAGCTTGGCACGCCCTGTGCGCACCGCCCACCAACTGGTAGAGACGGCGATGGCGAAGGATAATGGGGCCGTGTACTCTGCCTCTTCATGGCTGGGGAACACCCGCTGTCCGTCCGACGTATAAGGCTTCCATTCATCCGGATCGTGCTGGTGGTGGCATTGCAGCGGCGGCCATTGAGAGATATGTTGCGTCGGAGGCGCTGCTGCTTGCACCATGCCGGAACTCAACATCTGCTTCTCCCGGGGCAGTTCCCAATGTAGGCTCCTCGCCGGGTTCTCGCGAAGTGATGCGCCTCCTCGATCTGACAACTCCTGAATCTCCTGGAGGACGAAGTCACAGGCCTGATCGTCCCTGGTCACCCGACGAAGGTCATGCCCTCGAAGGTGTGGCAAACCCGTGGGACGCTCGTCTGACCGCAATGGTTTCGGAGCGGGTCGACCGTCCTCGAAACGGCGGGGAATCTCACGGGCTCTGGACTTGGTACTGTAACTGCAATCAAGTGCTGCACATATGCAATCAGCCTGCTGCAGGAGCTCCTGTTGAAATTCGGGATCAGCTAGATCATGCTGAGGATTGATCAACCAGTCGATCGAGATGCGTCGCCAGCCACAAAAAAGAAAAGCTCTGCCATGGTCAATGGTGCGTTCGGACCTGACATCAAATCAGCCATGAGGGGTCCCCCCCTGGTTGCGGCGATTCCTCGTCAGACCCCGAAGAGGCTGCCGCGGCCTCTTCAAGGCCCCGTCAGGCCAGGCTGCTGCACCATGATTCGGAGCGCCACAAACCCGCTCCTTCTTGGTGACATGGCCGCAACGGTGTTGTCCCAACTTGCACTTGCCTCCCTTGCTCTTGCATGAGTCAAAAGGGCCGGTTCCACCGGCGTAGGAGGAAGCCAATGGGCATCCCGCGCTGTGTAGACCTCTTTGATAATAGCGCCCAACGAGTGTGAACTCTCGCGGAAGCGGGCGGTCCATTCAGCCCTCTCTTCCGAGTCACGTGTCTGCAGCCAGGCCAGCCGCTTACCCGGTGGTAGGGCATACGTAGATCGCTTGGCACTGAAGTATAGTACTGCGTGGCCACGTCGAGGGGCACCTGAGCATAGAGTGTACTGTCCGCCCCCAGGGTGAGCTCGTCCTTAGGGTCGAAACCAGGGCCCGGCATCGGCAGGGGTCCCACCCCCGCCATCGCGTAGGCGAACATGAGGGTCTGGAGCTTGTCAAGGTAGGGCTCGGTATCGCGAGCGGACGGTTCCTCTTCTTCAGCCTCCTCGGTAAACAGGTTGTCGCCAAGTTTACGCTTCTTCTGAGTAGTCATCAATTGGAACTGCAAGGACTTAACCTTCCATATGGAGAAGACGCAGAGCATCCGCTTGCTCATCTCCCGACTCACTCGCGAGAGGGTATAGAGTCCGCCGGATGCACTTTGGAGGGAACCTCTGACGGTACCGCCGCCAGAAGCTGACCTTGGTATCCCGTAACTCGGTCTCTCCGAGCATGGAATCGAGGTCATCGGAGGCAACCTTTGACCGGTCTTGCTCCATCTGCCGGAAGTAGAGGGTGATGGCATGCCACGCCCGCCGCAAGCGTGAGACTTGAAGCATCTTGCCATCCCCCAGCGACAGCTTGGAGAGCCATGGCTCAACCGCTCCCTCACTGTCAAAGACTCGCCACGCCGTCCCTGGGATCCCTTCCCACGCGCCTAAGCCAAAGCTGCGCACTCGGAGGAGCCCCTCTCCTCCTGCACAATGACTGCGGCCGCGACGAGACCGGAGACGGGGGGGGAGAAGGAGGAGGGACAGACCGAACGGCGCACTGCTGGACATGCATCCTGTGCTTGTTCAACTCGCCTACCCACCCGGGTGTG